TTTTTAAAAATGACAATTTATGACAATATTAAAGAACAGTTAGGAAAAGCAGAAAGAGAACATGAGGAGGCAAAAGAAGAATTGAAGAAGTGGAAAGAGAATTGGGGGGAAAGTCTGGACCAGTTGTTAAGAGAAAAGGCAGAAAAGCGTGATGTGGAGTTGTTTAATTACTTAAAAACAAAAAAAGAAGAATTGACAAAGAAGGTGGAAGATAGGTTGAAGCGAGTAGAGAAGTTGCAGGATGAGTTGTTTGCCAATTTCAATAAGGAAAAAGGTAATGAACAAATTGTGTAAAAAAAAAAATTTATTTTTCATTCATTCCATTTTGTTTATTTATTTGATTGTTGGAGAGAGTGTTTGGTATCATTTCATTTTATTTGTTCATTGATCCATTCACCTTTAATGCAATTACATTTATCTGGATTTGTTTTTTAGGGCTTCTAAATTTAGATGAATATTTATCATATGCTATTCCACATATCACATATTTCCCACATGGTACTACTAGTAAATCTTCTACAAAGGCATCAGGGGATCCTCCGGAGGAAGTGAAACTTTGGGATGATTTTCTTGGTAGTGTAAATAATAATACATTTGATCAAGAAAAAAAATTCCAAAGACCAATATTTATTACCGATTTCATCAAAACATGTGAAGAAATTGTTCGGGAAGCTTTTAATGTAAATGTTTGTATGGTATTGAATAGGGTTCTCCAAGATGTTCAGTTTGCATTGCGGAATGTTAAGGGTACAGGCAATCCAGATTATTGTTGCCACCTTGTAGCTGGTGATAAATTGCTCATTACAATGGAGGTTAGGGGACATAATGTTTTAATTACTAGTGGTCGGAAAATATCTGACCTTTACAATGATAAAATAGATGCAGAACTTGCACCCAAAGTAAGACAGATCATTCAGCAACTTTATAACTATATGATAGAAAACACAACAAAATATGGTGCACTTTCTACCTATAATGATCATTGGTTTTTTAAAAGAGAGCATGGAATTCTATACATTTCAGAGGCTGTTAATCATGGTTCAACACATCCAACAACCCTCAAGTCCTATGCATATCTGGTTGAATTAGCTAAGAATGATACTTATTCCTCTGATCCTAGAATCATTGAAAAAACTGACAACCTTCCATATCCTTTTCGAAAACCTAGATATGATGATAATGATGATCCTAGCTCAAGTCATAATCTCTCCAAACAATCATCCTCCAAACAATCATCTTCTGAACAATCATATTCAAGTACATCAAACAAATCAAAGCATGGAAAACAAAGCATGGAGGCACAGAGATTCAACTATCAAGACTTTAAGTATATTAGTATATTAAGTGCTGGAGAAAATAATAAGAAGGTACTTGAGTGTGAATTCCATGGAAAGACAATTGCCTTGAAAAGCACTGATTTAACAAAGAAACCTAAATGCCTGGATGAATTTCTGAATGAAGTTGAAATTTATAAAGTTCTTGCTAAACTTCAGGGTAAATGTATTCCTGAATTGTTGTTTTATGGCAATTTGGCAAACGGAATGAGCCTAGTTATGGGAATGACAATTGTTGGTACTCCATTGGATCATCATAGGATAAATAAATGGCTAAAAAATAGAGCTATCATGACATTAAAAAAAGTTCACAAGTATAATGTTCTTCACAATGATATTCGTAAGGAAAACATCTTGATTGATGAAAAAGGACATGTGTATTTGATTGATTTTGGATTGTCAATTCAAACTTATGATGAGAATATGTTTCATGAGGAGGAAGCTCAATTAGAACATTTACTAAATAGCTATTTGCCATGAAGTAATGTCAAAAATGTAATTTTTATATATCATGCTTTATATTATCAATGGTAAAATAATGCTTATTTGCTATATTATGTGAAAACAAAAACAAAATATGAGATGTGTAGCAGCATAGTGGAATTTTGTTTTTGATCGACATTCGAAATTATCATGTTACACGACCTACACAATCTTTATTAATTACCATTACACAATATAAAAAGATCAACATTTTAAGTCACATTCGTGATAATTATGAAATTCTACTATGCTCATGTTATAACCATGTTTTTTCTATATATTTTAAGGGGTAGAGTGTAATCATGTGATTTTACATAATGATTGGTGAGGATAAATAATTCCCGAACCTCTTTTAAATCACTTGCTTCATATATATACATATGATATTTATTTTGATGTTGTAAATTTTTTTTTTCCTTTAATTTTGAAATGTTCTCGGGATTATTTTATTATTATATTGTTGTCATTTTCTTTATTTTCATTTTATTACATTTTTATGTACTTATTTTTTTAGTTGGAACTTCTTTTGTTAATTTTCTTTCAGTTTAAAGTAAAATTTTCTATGGGCTTTTCTTGGAAATTCGCTAGGCTTTTACATTGTTTTATTGTTATATTGTTTTATTGTCATATTGTTCACATTTTTCATCATTTCTTTTTATATAAATTTTGTTTTTGTATTTCTTTCAATCCTCTTGGCCTAGATTTGATCCTTCCTTGCTTTTCTCTTGCCAGTCTCTCTTTTCTCTCAGTAAAAGTAGAACTGTGGGCTGATACCCTTTTGAATTCCTTTCAATACCCATTTCTTTGATCACTGGATGATCCTAACATTAATTTATGAGTTTTTAAATCTTCCCTTTCTCCTGGTTCCAAATTTTTGTTTGATTATCCATTTTCTTTTCTTATTACTGGTTTCTTCCAGTTTATCGAAAAGAATTGTTTTGTTAGTAGCTGGTAGCTGTCATTTGGTAGGTTTTTATAATGTTTCATAATCCTGAGAAACATGAATTTGTAACAAATATAATGATACTATGAGTAATAAAGTAAATTTTGAAATGTATTTAATATTTATTGATTTGCGTTTATTGATGTTTATGACAATTATTACTGTTATTGTTATTGTTATTGTTATTGTTATTATTATAACCATTATTATGTGGGAGAGTGAAATAATTGATAAATTGAATGGATCAGGCTAAATAAGCCTTTACCAGCAAGTGGTTTTTAGGTTTTATTTAATATGGGTTTATCAAGTCGAAATTTTGTTCTCAAAACAAGGCTTGTTTTTCTTTGTGATAGTGTGTAACAAGCAACACTCTTGTATGTATTCATTACGTTTTTAATGTGTGTTTTGTTCTTGCTATTAGGTAGGTCCGATGCGGTCCCATTTAGGGATGTCCACCGAAACCCCCCCTTTTAGGTGGTACCGAAACCGAAAGTGTACCGAAAGTACTTTCGAACACTTA